GGAACCCGCTGGGAACAGCGGACAGGGACCAAAAGGCAGATGATATTAACTATATGCTGTGATAGATAAACTTATTATGAACAAGTGATAAACAAGGGAAACAAAATTACTATAAAAAGTACACTATTAAAAAAGAACTGTTTACTATTTGCAATACATTTCCCATGGAAATCAAACTAAGTATATTAACAAACTTTTGACTTACATTTATTCTACATTTCATTCAAAAAGACCTTACTGAGCTAAGCCCTATAAAGAACACTATGGGTCAAGCATCATGAGGAGCTCTATGGAGGACACAAAGATGATGAAGATTAAGATCTCTGCCTTCAGAGGGCTTACACTACTGGCTGAGGATGGAGCCCAGTGGTAAAGACTTGCCTAACATGCATGAGGCCCTTGGTTAAATTCCCCAGCTGGAGAGAAAGAGAGATAGACAGACAGACAGATTTGTGTCTCCTGGAAGAATGCTATATCCCTTGATAAAGTAACATGGGTATGTAACACAGTAGGTCCTAATTCAATCACCACATCAGACTCGCTCCATCATTTCTTTCACCTCACAATAAATAATGTGACCCCGCATTTTACACAAGTGAATTGTTTGGAAGTCATGTTGGGAGAGTTTTACTAGGTATTATAAAAGTCTGTAAGAAAAAGAGATCTCTGGAAAGCTTCAAAGAAGTACGGGCACCCGAACTGCACTGGAAAACAGGTGGAAAGGAAAGAACATGACAAACAAAAAGAAGAAAAACAAGAACAAGAGAAGGAAGTACAGTGGCACATTTGAGCCCTTATTAATACAGAGAAGCTATGCCTTGGGGAAAATGGAGGGATGTAGTGGAGGAAGAGCAAGGAGGCTTTACTGAGGCTGGCCAGTTAACAGAGAGCCCAGTGGCCTCACAACAAATGAGAGCCCCTGTTGCCTGCCTGGGGAAACCCCAAATACATCCAGGGCACATACAAAGAAGGCTCTTGGGCTTCCCACCTGCTCAGGTCTTTGTTCCTCACTGGAAAACACAGCTCACGATCCCTATTAACCTAGACTGTAAGATGGACTGGCCTGTGTCGAAACAAATAAAAAACTGAGTTGATCATTAGAAATAAATTCAACCTGCACTTACAGAGTGCTGAGTTTGTGCAATTCACTTTGCTGCGCCCTGGGCAAAACATTGCATTGCACTGCAGAATTCACCATTGTTTCAAAAAGGCAGTTACTTATCATAGAGTATAGAATGTAATATATTGAAATAAACTCCAGAATACCAAGGGCCTTTGATAAGACTTTCAAATCTTACTCCTACAGGCAAGAGTTCAGCAAATATCCAATCAGTGCTCTTATTGCAATCAGTCGACCTCAGGTGGTACGGCCTCCACAGCCAATAGAAGTTCCATAGTCACCTCAGTCAGACTTGGAAAGCAGACAGAAAGCCTCAACACCGTGGCCTCCCCCAGCCTTTGAGGGTCTCTCCGGTGCAGCCGTGACCCCAAGGCACTCACCCAGTCCTTCCACGGCTGCCACAGTATGGCTCTGCCATCCTCAGGAAGACCAACTTCTAGAGGAAGCCCATCCTAAAACTCTGTCCTGCTTTCCTTTGGTTCTCTAAGTTGAGTTTCTTATACAAATTAAAGAGAATTGTCCTTATCTCCACTTCACTTGAGCATTTTACACTTATTTATAATTACTTCATGCTCTTTTTATAAACCAAATCAGAAAACAAATAATGAGCACACACAAAAAAACTTTTGTACCCACTTATCACTTTCTCTGGAAAACATCTGAAAGCACGGCCTGTGACAAAGCTCATGGTAGAGCACCTGTCCAACTTGTGCAAAGCCTTGGGTCACAAGGAAGGAAGGAAGGGGAGAAGGAAGGAAGGAGAAAGGAAGGGGAGGGGAGGGAGGGGAGAGGAGGGGAGGGGCAGGGCACAGCAGGGCAGGGCACAGCAGGGCAGGGCAAGGCAAGGCAAGGCAAAGAAAAGAAAGCTGGCCCCCAAAGACAAGCCTCATTATTATCAAAAGCACTGTCCAGTTCTTTCCAGTCTATAGGCTACCAATGCACACCCCCCTTATATATTCCCTTATACTCCACAGATGCACAGCTGTGACACACTCAGCTGCCCTTATCCATCATTTTCTGAAATGCAGATGGGGAAACTGTTACAAATTCTCAGTAACCTTCCCAAAAAACACCTTGCTCTACTCCCAGAATAAAACCTTTCCTTACTGGGAAACATAGCAATCCACGCTCTGAATCAGATATATGTGACCACTAGGGGCTGGCCCTGACACTCTGCTCGTATCTGTTTGCTCCAGCCACCAGGAGCAGAAGCAACTGTCAACCCTTCCTGTCTGTTCTTGCTGTTCTTTCAATCAAAAATGCCTCCCTCGCCCATTTGCCAAATTTACATTGCCTCTCTCCTTCCGGAAGTGGGTGGTGAACTGCCCTCCAATTTCTCTGGTCCATGAGACCGCTTCCTTCTTCTCTCCCTAAGTCTTTTGCTTGTTGTGCTTCTCTGAAGCCTGTATCTCATTATTTGGTTACTGCAGTTGGTTATTTATCTGCTTGTCTCACTAACTAAACTGTAAGCTCTTTGAGAATATGGATGGGTAATTTTCAACTTTACATCTTCACAGCATAGTGCTTCGCACACAGCTGTTATAAAACATCTGTTGAAGGAATTAATTCCTTGGAGAATTTTATTTAAAGTAGTTGTTTGCAGAAAAGAATTTAATTTAATCACTATCATATTTCTTTGCATAGTACTTAGAGCTAGTTTTAAAGGTATTTTAAAATTATTGCCCCATGACTGAAGGAAATAAAAACTTTGTAATTCCTCTTATTACCTCGCCTTTTGTCAATCGCAGACATTATGCATCTTCTTCCGAATTATTTACAACTCAGTAAGTTATGATCTATTTGTTACCACGCCAGGGTATGTTATTCTATAGGGGCCAAACTTTAAGAAGAATTGATAGAAATGAAAAATTGGAGCAATACATATGAGTAAACCAACAACACAGCTTCTACCATGCAACTGACATTTCATTCAATTTCTTCATCTACTACAGCTCTTGTCAGAACAAATGAAAAATTTCTCACTCTGGTTCACAATACATACATAAATGTTTTTATTCATTTTACTTAACAGATTTACTTGCAGCAATAAATTTTTCCCATCCATTCAAGTAGTAGTTTGAGCCATTTTCTAGCAGATTATATTTAATTCTTAAGCTCCTGTTATCCTGAGGTGGTTCTGACCCAACTCTACTCTGAGATACCATAGAAGTGCTGAGCCTGGGGTTCTTTCTTACCAAGCAGAGAGGTTACCCTACTAGGAACTGATATAATTAATTCACCTCCAGATTCAGGATTTCCTCTCCCTAGAAATTTTAGGATTCAAAATACAACAGAAAAAAGAAAGCGTTACACAGTTCAACGAAACTCACTAAGTACTTAATCTGGCAACCAAACCTTGAGCAGTTTACTTGATTTCAGCAGGGCAGACTATGGTCACTAAGGAAGTTTCCGATCCTAGCATTTATGAAGTCTGAGTACTTTTATCTGATTTTTCCTTCAATGCACTCTGATTCACCTCATTCTGGCATTACTCAATTCCCAATGTGTGTTTTATCAGCTTTACAGCATCTCAAAATTTTGAAAATGATTTTATGTTGCATTCTATACATATTGTAATGAGGGAAAATCTTAGTCCCTTAGACTACACTAGCATGTCATTTTGTAAACCACAGAAACACACACACACACACACACACACACACACACACAAGACTGGATACAACTCAACAACCTACAGACTAACAATTCAAAAATAAGGAATATGAATACAGATTTCTCCCATAAAAAGATGTCCTGTCGCTCATTATTATGGAAATGCAAATCAAAGTCATACTGAGATATCCTTCACAACCATTAGGATGGTTATCAACCAAAAAACAAATTAGAAAATAACAAATGTCTATAAAGATATACAGAAATTGGAAACCTTGTTCATTGCTGATGGGAATGTCAAATGAATGGTATAGCCACTATGGAAAATAGTTTAGTGGTTCTTCAAAATGTTAAACATAGGCCAGGCACGGTGGTGCACACTTATAATCCCAGCACTCGGGACGCTGAAGCAGGAGGAATCGCTGCAAGTTTGAGGCCAGCCTGGGGTACCTAGGGAGTTCAAGGCCAGCCTACACTGCATAGCAAAATCCTGGCTCAAAAAAAATTTTTTAAACACAGAATTACCATAGGACACAGCAATTCTGGTGGCTTGAAAGAACTGAAACCAGGGACCCAATAGGTATTTTTATACCAATATTCACAGCAGCCTTACTCAACAGCCAGAAGGTAATAACATCCCTATATCCCTATTGTACAGCAAAAGATGAATGGATTAACAAATTGTAGAAAATTATTCACTCTTAAAAGGACATATACCTATAATCCCAGCACCTTCAGAGGCTGAGGCAGGAGGACTGCAAGTTCAAGCCCATCCTGGGCAACTTAGCAACTTAGGGAGAACTTGTCTCAAAAATTAAAAATAATATAAAATAAAAAGGGCTAGGGTTGTAGATCAGTGTGAAAGCCCTGGGTTCAATCTCCAGTACTGCAAAATAAATAAATATATGAGGTACTTACAACAGTCAATTCCCTGAGGCAGAAAGTAGAATGGTGGTTGCCAGGGGCTGAAGGGAACAGTCATTGTTTAATGTGAACAGATTTTCTGGTTGAGATGATAAAGGTCAGCATAGTGGTAATGGCTGCACAATATTGTAAACATACTTAAGGTGCGTTCGTTTTTATACAAATGATCATTCTTGAATGGGAAGAGGATTAACAGATGGAGGGGGAGGGAGGAGAGAGAAAGGGGATGAAAAAAGAATTTAAAATGTGTTATGGACATGTATCAACTCCACCCAAGGACTGTAAACATTATGTACTCCAAACATGCACTAATAAAAAAAAATTTTTAAATAAGCATACTTACCACTGAACTGTACACTTAAAGATGATGATAATAGTAAATTTTATAAATTTGCTAGTTCTACTGTTTCCTTCAGTCCTCTTGTGGGTAATAATTATCTTTTAATTCAGATGATTTGAAGTACAGTGGTATCTCAGTTCATGAACTTAATCTGTGACCAGAATGAGGGAAAGAGTTAAGATCATGAACTGAGGTACCCCTGTATTCACTACAGCTACACAGTCTCTCATACACACACATTTACACACACAAAAATGCTTATATATTTTTTTAAATTGACTAAGGATCCATTTCCCTTTCATGGTGATGATCCCTCAAGTCATGTGAAAAGAAAACCACCATTCATCACACAAAAAACTAGGTTCTCCTAGCACAAACCTCCACAGGCAGAAGTCCGGTATTTATTAAGCTAAGGGCTAGTGACAGCATCCAAGCTGAGAGGAAGGAAAAGAAGACAGTGGAGATAACTATCAAGGCTCAGTCACTTCAATTTTCCTGAATGACAAAAGACACCAAACAGTAGCTCTACAAACAAACTGAACTGAATATAGGAGGATCACAGGGATAGAGCAATAACAATAAACAATGTGTTGTTTCATGCCTACTTTATAATCTACTCAGAATCTGGGTTTTAAAAAGTACAATGATGCCCTTACTCAAAAATCTGTCACTTTATCACTGGCGTCTTCTACAATCTGAGACGACCTGATGTGGCCAAAGGAAGAGGAGCATCATTCAGAGAGACAGAGGCAGGAGGATCACAAGTTCAAGCCCAGCCTAGGCAACTTAGATCCTGTCTCAAAAAAAAAAATCACTGGAGATGTAGCTCAGTTTGAAGCCCTGGGTTTGATCCCCACTACTGGGGTGGGGTGGGGGTGGGGGTCTCCCAGAAAATCTACCACCCCTTTCGCAGGACCTGTTATCTTTCTTGTCTACTTGCTTGCTTTTGTTTTCTCCACCTGGACAATTTCACCTCCTAACTAGGAGGACTAGAGACCACATCTTCAACCTAACTCAAATCCATGCTGATTGCTTCTCCTTTGCACACATCCCTCTACATATAGTTAGCACTGAATAAACACTCACTAATTAAATGACTGATCAAAATAGTTAGTTGTTTCAGTTGAGTAGCTTCTTCTACCCTGTCTCCCAAATTGTAACCTGACTTTCAAGAACTGCAAACAGTACATGATGCATTCAAAGCACCTGTAAGAGAAGTAAATCCTCTCCTATATTTTCAACTCACCCTGAGTAAACTAGTCCTCAGTAGGACCACACCCGAAAGTGGAAGGAGAAGTTCATCTACATTCCCTACTGGGTCCTCCTTGCAGGCTCCCCAAGTTTCCACCTTCATTCTACAATGGGAAGAAGGGAGCAGTGTTACCATTGTGGGTCCCTGGGAGCACTAGAACACCCCATATTCCCAGGCGTGTCCTCTGGGGACAACAGCCTTTTGATTGACTTCTCTGACCCCTCTCCCCTCCTATTTGGAGGTCTTTAACTTGAAAGGGCAGTTAAACAGAGCCTATGAGTTAAATTTCCTCATATTAACAAACTCCCAACATCCCAAGAAAGAGTCAATAAGGGTGTGCCTTCGGGATTAGTATTTTAAAACGAGATTATGCTTTCCTGTTCTTCTGTCAGTTGCAAATCCCCAACCCTACTAGAATCACTTAAAACTAATCTACAGTGTTTTTATTGGAAGAAAGCAATCAGAAAAGCTCTGACCCACTGAGCAACTGGGAATTTTGTTGCTGAAGGTTTGGTTTAGTCTTTATTTTTCTAGCTGCTGGTCCTGCTAACATGATTCTGTGAAGGTCACATTTAATCTTACAGAATAAAGCTACCTAAGCAGTTCTTAGGTAGGCTTCAGTAAAAATAAATTGCCTTGGCTCTCTGGACAAGTCTGTTGCTTCAATCAACAATTTCAGTAGTGGAGAACAAATGAAGGCAATTTAAAATACCACATTTGATTTCAAAAGAATTTTAGCGCACATATGTTATAACCCGAAAGTGTTTGTGAAAAACAATAACAAAGTTATTTTTAATAAGGAACCCTACAGAGAAAGTAGCAACTCTCCAATGTATATCACCAATTCATCACTAAAAATAGCTTATTTATACCCGAGTTCGATCCCCAGTACCGGAAAAAAAAGCTTATTTATATGTACAAGAAGATATAAGGATCATTATTGGGCCTGAAATGTCAGAGAAATGGATGAAAATATATTTTGGGATTTTATTGAAATTTTTATTGTTATTAGTACATGTGCGCAGTAAATAATGATTACATTCATCATGGAGAGTTGGTACATGTACATAATACATCTCAATTCTTTTTACTTCCTCTTCCAGTTCGTCTTTCTCTTACCTCCCTCCATAGTAAGATTCTTTTAAATGTCTGGGTACAAACGAGAAAAGCCAAACAATTTCTCACCTTCTGAGTACTGAACACCTAATACAAAGTGACAAATCCTAATGCAAAGTGACAAGTCTCAATGTTTATGCGCTCAATATATGTATACCATTAGGTCTCTAACACAGCAGATCTGCCATCTCTCCTGAGCTGGAATTAAGCCTTCCCATCTAACCTTTGCTTTATTGCTCAAAATCAAAGCAACAAATATTTGTCTAGTTCTTCCTGCATATCAAGTACTGGCGGGGAATGCAAAGAAACAAGACCCATCCAAGCTCTCAAATAATTTACTGCATAGGTGACAGAAACTAAACTCCAAGTAATCAAAGCTTTTCACAACAGACCCAGGAAAGATTCATCAGTATGTGCATGGCTGATGATTATCAGAATGGCACATGCAGTGCCCTACTTCTGTGGGAATTCAGAGCATTTTATTGTTTTAGGCTGAAGAGTTCAGGTAAGATATGTGGGGAAAGACCAAAGGAGATTCATGCAGTTACAATTAAAACAACCACTCTGCTTTCCTTTAGTCCTTTTAGGTTTTGTCCTATATTTAAAATTGTGTTCCATATTTAAAGTCCTTCCCCTAACATTTCTCTTCATATCTTACTTCATTTCCCAACCCTGCACCATCCAATATGGCAACCCCTAACCAGCTGTGTCTATCAGCACTTGAAATGTGGGTGGGCTGAATTAAGACACTGCAGGAGAAGACACTGGACTTTGAGGACTCAGTATGAAAAAACAATGTAAAATATCTCATTAATATTTTCACACTGATGATTTTGGAATGATTTTGGATATAATTGGTTACATGAAACATTAAAATTAATTTCACATGCTTCTTTGCACTTCTCTAATGTGGCTACTAGAAAATTGGGAATATACACATGGTTCACATTGTATTTGCACTGGACAGTGTTGTCCTAATCAATCCCCTCCCCCGCTTCAGCTATGCTCTGGCATTCAGTCTCTGGACTCATAATACTCACACCCAAACTTAGTTTTATAATAATTCAAAAATATCTCTATATCCAAAAAGGGAATAAGACAATTTTTTGTTTTGTTGTTAGTGTTGTTTGTTTTGTTTTTTCAGGTAAAAATTAGGCATTTTGGAGTCTTCTTCAATTGTAAAAACTAGGGGTCACACTCTGACTCAGCCTTTCTTGCAGTTCCCAACAGTGGACTTGTAAAGGTGGATGAGCAAAGAAAAATAAAACTCTGGATGAATCAGGGTTCCTGAAAAAATGAGCTCCTGCAACATGAGAATAGCTAGGATACAAAGATGTTAGTGAAGATATACAATGTGACATGTAACTATGGAAAATACTGGTTAGAAACATTTTACTCTTCACATACCTTGAGAATTAGACCTGTAGCTATTTGTCTAAAGTAACTGTTTATATCCAAAAGAATAATAAAATTTCTTATCTCCTGAAGAGTATCAATTTGTTACATCCTGGACCACACTCCTTGGTCAAGTTTCCAAGGTGCTAGGAAAACTCCTATCTTCCTAGGCATTTATATTTCAAAAGAGAGGAAGCCCAGACCTTGGAGAGGTCCCTAGATTACAAAATTTATACTTCCTGAAAGGTTAAGATCAGAACCCTGGATCCTTTTCAGACAGGTTTCAAAGGAGTTTAAGTTTGGGTTTTCTTCTTTTGTTTGTTTTTTCTTTCTCTCACAACTTTTGGAAAAGAGAGACAGCAGCTCTGTCCCAGTCAACAGAGTAAAAAACACACCCATATTCCATCAGTTTTCATAGCATTCCCTGAGGGTGTAAGTATGAGTCTTTATAATCAATGACCTAATTGTAAATATCAATAAGGAATTTTTTCTCTTGCCCAGGGGTTCTGCATTTCTGCAGTAGTAATATTTACTCACATTAATTAGTTAATTGGCCCACAAAGTAAAACTGTGACGTGAGATAACATCTCAGATCCTTCACACTTCTTGGCAAATCAGGATGGGTCAACCTCACCAAAGAGCCACCAGGCTCAGTGACTTCAATTAGCAAGAGCTATATGGGGACAGTGGTGTCTTCTAGCACTGGCCAGTTAGAGTCTGGATTCACAAAGAGCGGCACTAAGAAGTCTAGAATGGCTAGGGCCATGCACAGCACCCTCCTCGGCAACATCTAATTTGCTTTTCCTAATCTTACACGTACCAGAGGTGGGGTCAAAGGGGATACTTTAGCATGGTCATGAGAACATTTTCTAGTTACAAGAGTAACTGTGCTTGCTTTTTAAATTTGAGAAATACAAAGCTTTTCAGGAGGCAACACAAACAAAATTCAACATCAAAATGATGTTTTCTCACAGATTTTTTTGAATATTATACTCAAATGCTCACATATAAATAAAACTGGGGCACAATATAACACTCTTTTTCCCTATCCAATATTTACAATAACACATCAAATATATCCCATTATTAAATACAGTTCAAAAACATGAATATAAGGATGGGACTATATAGCTCAGTGGTAGAGCACTTACCTAGCATGTTCAAAGCCCTGGGCTTGTACCCCAGCAACAAACACGCACAGAGACACATACACACACACACACACACACACACAAACAAATACACACACTGAACTTTATAAGCTACCTATATTCTGGATGTACTATAATTCACTTACATGTGTTCCTATTGTTGGTTAATCAGGTTCTTTCCAAGTTTTCACAATTAAAAAAAAAAGGCTAATTCAATAAACATCCTTAAATAAAAATTTTTGTTTCCTCTGGTAACTTTAAGCAAATAGATTTCTAAAAGCAGCATTGCTGGAAAAAGGAATTTAACATTTTTAAGCCTTTAACAGTTGTTAAATTCCACAATGTTTCTTTCATTGCTTAATCCCAACCACATTACAGAGTACTAAGTTTCCAAATAGTGTGACGGGCAGGGCCCAGTTAGTTAGGTGTTCAGAGTTCCATCTTAACTTCTGTCATCTATTCTTCAGAAAAACACGATATTGGTCCATTCTATTTTCCTGGTTCCATTTTGAAACTCTACAGTCTGATAAAAGTAAAACAGCCCCAAGGAAGACCAACATAAACAGAACAGAGAGAGCCCGAGAGAGATTATGGTATTTCTGATTAATTTTATTGACACACGTCTTTCCTCTGAGGGCCCATTGTTTACCTCAAGACTAATTTAGTTTGAGTCTGGGGCTTCACGATAGGGATATCAGTCCATCCATCTTCAAATAGTACTTCAACCCCAGTACCTCTAAAGTGATTTCAACCATGCCCAAGTGACAACCACCCATATCTCCAAGTTTACTTGTATAAAGTAAGCTGATGCCTCAAAATTTCCCCATCAGACTTTAACATCCTCAGGATACAAGGTAACCTCAAGGTCAAAGTATGCCAGTATTTCAACTGGTGCTTGAGTTACACTTACTTAACTACCAACTGCTCCCTTCACCTCCAAAACTCTTTCCAAGATATTTATGCAAAGATAGAAAATCTACTTGCCTAGTTACATCTTTTCTCTCTTCCACTCAGGAATTCAGGAGTGCTATTTTGCTCTCTACCTTCTTTTCTTTTGTTAATCACCCAATCCCCCCAACTTGCACTTTCCAATCCCCTCCCATTGTTACTCCATTACCCCACTAACACCACATCAAAGTGTTAGGACATTCTTTTCTCCCTCTTGTAATTTTTCTCTTCTTTTCAATAAATCTAGGTTAGGGAGAAAAGAATTCTTTCAGAAATAACATACTAGATATTACCTGAAATAAAGCAATTTGTATGAAATTTCTTTTCACTCAAAATATCAGCCTCACCAAATGGGAAACTCAGCAGGAACCTTACAGGGTTATGACAATGTCTTTTATTTACAAAGTACTTTTTTGGGGTCCTCCAAAACCCTGACATTCATAAGCTTCATAAGAGCAAATTAATATGTGAGTTCATTTTCCTTTGAACACAT